AAAGCAAAATACAATTACTAAGAATTTACTTTTTTCACAACATCCAGAAACTAGCAGAAGCTAATATGTTACCAGATTTTATTTATTTATTTATTTTTTACTTACTTACTTTAATTGAAGTTAAATAAATTTAAATTTTGTGTATCACTGGTTGCTTTTTAAAACTTAAAGAATCGTGTAGATACAGTACCTTAGTTCTGAACCCAATGGTAACAGCACACATATGTTAGTAGAAGGCCTCACACACCCATTAATGCGCTGGGAGCATTTTGGATTTCAGTATCTTGTTAATCTTTAGCATTGAATGCTAACCACAGGTACACACTATATTTTTCTTTTCATTTGATATTGGCTTACTTGATACTGTAGTTTTTTTTTTTACATTAAAGCCATGTTTTTTGCTGTTGCATTGAATCCCAATAGATCTGTATGGGCATTCCAAATTAGGTAACAGCATTTCTAAAAATAACATAAAAAGTGTGTTGTTGAATTCAAGATTTTTAAACATAAAGAATGAAAGGTGGAGCCCCCCGTAAACAGACTGTAAACAACTAGCAACACTGAGGTGCATTATATGACATGCAAACAAAGAATTGCTTTAAGCAATAGTAAGCAGTAGTACAGTATATTGATACTGCTATGGTATTGTGCAGTATGTATACCTCAGGCGCTGACAACATGTGAAAAGTGGAGTAGGGAAAGCTCACTAGTGTGAACAATCAAAGTGCGGACACCAGATACAGCACTGGAGCTTCGAGACTATTCTAGGTGTCACAAAGACTCAACAGACAACTTTAATGAAAGACTATGTAACTTTGCCCTCTTCATATAATCCATCTGTGTAGTCTGACTACAACAATCCGTCAAGCGAAGACCTTTCAAGCACTGGGTGGAATTTAAAACAGGTGCTGCACAATTGGTTCCTCCACTGCAACAGAGAAAGAAAAACAGCCACGCCTGCAAGAACATAACTGACAGAACATCACATTCTCCATCCAGCTGTGTTGTCAGTCCAGGGATAACATACAGCATGCACGCAATATACTATGCATTTCCATTCATTTTTTTAAAAAGGTTGTATTCTTGGAGAAGCACATTTTGTCTCTCTTTTTTTTTCTTGGTGAATTAGTTATGATAGTCTTGATGCAAGACAAAAGATATGCGGGTTAAAACACATTTCATTCTGAGCTTATTCTCTGACACCTTGTGTGTTCTTCAAGTGGCGCTAGAACATCTGGAGCGGATTTAAACTCTGAAATTCTGGCTGGAGATTCAAAGTGACGACTTTTTAATTGAATCCACTCCAAAGTCTGCAAGGCTGAAACGTCTTCTGGCAGGACCTTTCAAATCCATACTCATGTTGCTTTGTCATGTGACCTCTTTCGCAGTGCTTTTTGACTCCTGTGTCAAACTGATAGTGCCTTTTCATGTGGGTACACAAAGGGGTGAAAAGTAATCTCTTTCAGTTGAATGGATTGTCTTGTCAAAAGATGTCTTGATTAATTTCAAACGATGTCAAATAAAGTGTTACATATATGCATATGCAATAATCTACTTCGTGTACAGTGTTTACTCACTTTTCATGGTTTCTCTGTGACTTGTGAATACTGCCTCCTTCCCATCAATCCAGGCCTAACCATAGCACGTACCGGCTACAACTAAAACCTAGGCTACTGCTGTGTAACAAAACACACATTCACATGCCACAGACAGCAAATTGCTTCTCTCATTCCCCACCACGCCCTACCTTCATTCTCAGCCACCTGCAAAACAAACTGCGCTGGAAATTTCACTACAAATTACCCTGTGTCTGCCAAATCCCCCTGGGAGCGTAGGAAATCAAAACCCGGGATCTCCCTGCCCTGTAGAAACAGACTGTAGCCCCACACGGGCGCACAAAATATCTCGACTGAATTTTGTTTAAAATAAGAATCACTATGTGCGTGTGTGCTTTTTAAAGATATTCATTTGCTCTACTATTCTTACATTTGCGCTGTGGATTTCAGGTTTTCAGTTTCTACCTTTGAGTATTTCGTAAGATGATCCTAGAAATCACGCCAAGCTTAAAGAAACATGTAGTCTCACAAATAAAGCTGAAACTCGTTTTTAAAAAAAGTTTGGCGTTAAAGGAAAAGGTGACCATGTAAAAGTCGCCAATTTAACTTCTGACAACACCAATGCTGTGAACATGCCCCCTACTTCTGTTGCATTTCAAGTCACATTACATTTTGAAACCAGGCCTCCATTCCTGCTAAGAAAGAGTGAAAACTGAGACCTGCTTCGCTTCATGGGAAAATCAAAGGAAGGCACATACCTTAGCAGTGAATAATGATCAACAGCATAAACCCAACAGTATGTACTGTTAGTGCCACAGTGCCTCCTGGTGACGTCTCCGCATAACTCCAAACAGACAGGAATGTCGGAGAGAGAGTGAGTCCGTGCCCGATGTGCCAGAGAGATGAGTGCTGAAAGCTCCTTGGAAAAAGGATTAGGACTGTTTATGTTGGCCAAGTGGCCCGCTGCCAGCTGCTCAAGTGTGCAAACTTCTTAAAGCTGCAGAGCTTCGGGTTGGCCATGAATCCTCTCACTCTATTTACCCTGCTATCTGACTGTTTGGATGATTGTGCTTTGTTCAGGAGGGGGGAAAAAACCCTCCATTTCAACCCCCACCTCTAAGAAAGCCCTGCTGCTTGATTCCAAACCAGCTTTTCTGGGACACCACCTCCAAAGCACACCCATGCACAACGTCTTTGCTTTACTCCTGGTATGTCTGTGTAGGTTCTCAATAATCCAGGTTATGGTAAACTTAAGAGCTTGAAAAAAATAAGGCAACTAAACTTTAGGTTTGTGAGGAAGGTAGAAGGTCTTCACAAACCTGAAGTCCACTCGCTTTAACGTTTTTTCCTGGTATGTTTTTCTATTTTTTTTTTTTTTACCTTAAATATCCAAGCCAAAAAAACAAAACAAAAACTACTTAATAAACTAGAGTGATATCAAAAAGATGCATCAGCAGTAGGATAAGACTGAGCCTGGAGGTGGCAGGATGCCAGAGCTGTGTGGCCTGGAGCTAGATCAGAGCAGGGTTCATGAGCTGTCGTTATGAGATGGGAGTGGGGGGTGGGGGGTGGGTCTCAGGTCAGGAATAATAAAAGGCAGCCTCAGCAGCAACACAGCTCAACCCCAACTTCTGTTATTGAGCTTTGGAAATCACGAAGATAACTTATTCTTCCCATCGCATGTAGGCTTCAGGGTTACCATTGACAGTAGAGGATTTAAACATGCGTATCCAGTTAGTTTAACAGATATAATCTTACATTTAAACAAAACCCTGTAGATTATTAAGCTTTTAAATTGCTACAGCACTTGAATGCAAATTCTCCCAGCTCCAATGAGCATCCATGGGGCAAGCATCACATTTCTCATAAATTTTAGCTATGCTGATCTAACTGCGTGCTGTCATTTCTGTATGCAGTGAGAACACATAACACTCTGGAGCTTTGAAATTCAGCTGGCTGTGTGATAGAGCTCAGTTAAATTTAATTTCAGCTTGCCAGTTTGATCTATTTTTGCAATCTTTGTTGATTTATAAATAAATCGCTTTGACTTTGATGTCCATTAGTGTCACACAGCAGCAGTTGTTCACAGACCGAAAGTGTCACATTTCTAGAGGATACAAAGAGTAACCGAGTCCACACTGAACAAACTCTTAGCAGGCTCAGCTTCACTATAATGTACTGTATGTAGCCAATGTGAGGTATTTATCCTGCCAACCTGGTTTGTGATAAAGACATTTGCCAAAAGCTGAAAATCCATTATATGCACAATTTCAAAATTTAAAAACATACCAAACAGCTGACCGATCTTTCATAGATCCTTGAGGTGATAAGAGCAGCACCTTAAATTTATATTAGAGATATTTTGTTATATATATTTTTTTAACTTAGACCAGCTGTGACCAATGACTGTACAGTCACTGGCTGTGATCACATAATATCCTCTGGGATTAATCAAGTATTCTGATTCTTGCCCATGCTGCCATCTTTTGATATGCAGTGGTACTGCAAAGAAATACATTTTTAATTTAAACACATCAAAACACATTTTTTATGGGAAAGGTCTGTTATCATTTTGTTTTCTGTCTCTATGTACAGCTGTGTGTGTGTGTGTATATATCTTATTATACAAAGACAAGTGCATTAAAAGAATTAAAAACCACCACCACATAAGAGCATACTTTATAGACAATCACACACTTAAAACTTTGTATTCAAACACTGGGACATGCAAAATACAGAGTCTTGCACAACTGTCAGTTTTCCATTGAATTAAAAAAAATGCACCAACAAATATATTCAACACGTTTGTTGAGTTCATTAAATTAAAATATCCAGCCACTAAAATGTGCAGAAGCCATGCAAATTCATTAGCCTTCCCTGGTGGACGTCTGCAAAGACAATAAAAACTTGACATTAAGGCACTTAATCAGGCAGAGAACTCAGGCACTCTTTAAAAATAATGAACGTTTAAAAATTAATTATCTTTAAAGTTCACAAGAGTTCACAAGAAGCACCAACACAACGTATATTGCACTCCATTGTTACTGTAAACAAATTCACATATTTGGCACTGTGTACTAAAAAGCCATGAGGTACATTCACAGATACAAAGATTAGACGAGAACAAACACACGATGCTAAACCAAATGTGTAATAACATAGTTATAACACCTTGTTTAAAATAAATGTTATACTCTGATATGATACTAATATGATAAAATCTTAATGCTGACAGTCTTGGACTCTACATTATTAAATGGTAAATGGCCTGTATTTGTATAGTGCTTTTACTAGTCCCTAAGGACCCCAAAGCGCTTCACACATCCAGTCATCCACCTATTCACACACTGGTGATGGCAAGCTACATTGTAGCCACAGCCACCCTGGGGCGCACTGACAGAGCCGAGGCTGCCGAAAACTGGCGCCACCGGGCCCTCTGTAGGCAACGGGTGAATTGTCTTGCCCAAGGACACAACGAACGAGACTGTCCAAGCCAGGGCTCGAACCGGCAACCTTCCGATTACAAGGCAAACTCCCAACTCTTGAGCCACGATCGCCATGTCGTCATCTGTTGGTTTGCAGGCTACTATCCAAAACACCGATTTGGCACATTAGAACAGCAATATGAGAATGGCCAAACTGATAATCCAAAGCATATTTGGATGAAGCTACTCAGATAATGCTGAGCTCAGGCTCAGCAGATCACTTACAAAAGTAAAGAAGAGGTGTAAAGTAAAAGTAAGAGACGAGAGAAAATCTCGTCGAGCATGTTGAGTGTTGTTGCAGAGTCACGTTCCCTGTTGGCAGGTCACATATGGAACGCCACAAGAATGTCTCTCTCAAAAAAACTAAACAAGGACACTACCTGTTAACTAAATCATACTTTTTTCATTATTGTTTTACACTTGCAATTAGTGACCATAAACTCTTGGGAAAAGTGTCCATTCGAGCATGTGAGCAGTAATTTTCTCATAATCTTTTTACCATTATGATTTTCTTTCATGACTAGAGAAGTCGCCCCATAGCAGGACATTAGCAAAAAAATACAAGGCACTTGAGCATTAATTTCACATGTCAGAGCTGAAACCATTTATCCATTCATACAGTGGTGTAAAGGCAGACTGTGATAAACATTTTTCTCCCAGAGAAATACTCTGTGTGGTTGCTATTGATGTTCAGGCTGTAGAGTGATTATTTTCACAATGCACATGCAATAATGCTCCAAATTAAGTGAAGCACCTGAGGATCTGGGACATCAGCTGACTGTTTTTCAGTAAAAGTGATTTTCCATGAAAGTGTATTTTACAAAAAATTACAAACTGTTGGTGTCCTAAAGTGTGACAATAATTAGAACAGTATTCAGACATTTCACTTGAAGGTAGAGGCTCCACTGAGTTAAAATGTTGAAAGATTTTGCATCATTGTGATCGTGGTCTACTACCAAGCCCATGAAGAGAATAGTATTAATTACGTTTCAGGTTTTCCATAGATCAAAGCCTTCCTATCCTGATTCGTGAAGATCCTTATGCCTTATTGTACTGAGGCTTATCCTTGAGGCACAACTGATGTGTTGTTTGGCTGTAGAGCACCTTTCGTTTTATAAATTATGTAAAATAATGGAAGCACGATGCCTATCAGGAGCATGGCAACTACAGCGTTCCACCAGTTGATTCCCCAGTCAGCGCCATAACTGGTCCGACGCTGTCCTTTGAACCCAAAATGCTGTTGTTTTTGCGAGTTATCCAAAAATTCCTCATCTTGATCAGTTGTGGTTTGAATTAGTTTGTTTATATCATTATCCACCTCCATGAGAAAGTCTGTGGCCTCTTGTATATGAGGCTGGGCTCTCGCTTTGTTCTGAGGCTCCACTGGTGTTTGAGAAGCATGGGGCATTTCTTCTTGAGGATCACTCGGATTTGAGAAAGTTTCAGTTAAGAAGCTGTGTTGCTGAACTGGTATTTTGATGGATTTTAGTGCAAATAGATCTTGTTCCTGCATTAGGTTGTTCACCCGCTTTATATCGGCTACCTGTTGAAAAAGCGACAAACGTACATCAATATAAGCACATGAAGAAAAATAATTTTACAAAAATGTCTGCAGCTATGAAAAAGCTTTTACCTTGCAGCCATATTGCAGTGCAAGCTTGTTGAGATTATCATCGGCTAACACTTCCCGCTCCAGCAGCTGGACATTTTTCAGTCTGTCCTCCTGGTCCTGGAAAGCCCGTGGTCTCAACTCCATGACACCGAGTTCCTCATCGTCTGAAGATGCAGCACATTCATTTGTTTTCCTCCTGAACATATAGACCTGGCCATCTGCACTGGCGTGAACATCCACCGGGGCTTGGAAAGCCCGCGGACCATTCTCCCCCCGCCACATAATTAAACACCAACCTGTAAATGTAAGCACATAGCTAATATTTACACATGCACAGTCATACTTGCACAGTAGATAAAGTTACATGGAACACATGTTCTATGTTTAAGTAAATTCTGTACAAATTTATGTTTTGTCATTCATAATTAAATGTGCAATGTAGACACAGTTGGGTTATGCTAGTGTTATAAACGGCCCAAAATCTTTCAGCTCCACTAAAATGATCAATGTGCTTTTCTACCATGTTTTACAATAACGTTGGATGGTAATTAAAAGAGAATTAACAAGGTTGGCTAGTTTCTATTTAAAGATGATTAACCATGTTCTGACTGGAGGTGTTCTAAAAAATGAACAATATATAT